AATGAGATATTAGACAAGATGACACAGCCAGAGGCTGGAAAGGGACTTATTCAGGAAGCTTGTCCCCCCCTTTTCTGTCAGGATCTTTTCTACCTTGTGTGAGGGCAAGGCCAGCCCCACAATATTATGGACAGTTAAGTTAGGTAAAAGTATGATAGGCAGTTACAGAGGATAGGCTCCAGGCAGTCAGTGCAGAGGAGGAAAACACATTACAACTGCGGCAGGAGGTGCAGCTTTTGGAGGCCAGGCCTCGAGATGGAGAGAAAATGACCAGGCCTACACACCTCCCCGGGGGATAAGATAATTGGTATCATCTGGTCAATAAATTCTAGATAGACATCAGTCACCCAGGTGAGTGACCGGACTTCTCTCATTCATCCCTTCCTGAAGAAGGTCCTTGTTCTTTCCAGGCCACTTGAGACATGACCTGCTTCCCCACTGGATCAATATTACGTACTTGCCTGTACTTGTAATCTTATTGGTTGACTGAAGTTTTGACCCATGTTGTACCCTCCCTGTGATTCTGTTCTGCAAAACTTCCTTTGAGAAGTGAGCTCACAGGCAACGTACTTGCAGGTCCCCTCTGTGTCTCAGGTGCTGTCTCTCACTCAATAAAATTTTCTTACTCTTAACCTCTGTTGTTCCTTAAATTTCTTCTTTGATTCTGGGGAACACGAACTTGGAGTATGTGGGAGTTACATTTAGTTCTTCCAATATCAGCAGCAAAGGGGAAAGATTAGGTTAGGGCTTCGTCTTCAGTAAGACCAATGGGTGATTCTGCATGCTGGACTCATGAATTACACAAGCTTTAGCTCAGATGGCCGAGTCCACGGGACCATGAGAAATAAGTGCTCTCTAGTGAGGGGACAGAGGAAACATCCCTGGAGGCACCTAACTTAGTTTTTTAAAGTCACCATTTATTAAGCACCAGTTTGGGGGTAATTTATACACATATTTTTAGCGTACAAAATAATGCCTTATAACTTGAACACTGCTGTTATTCCATGAGGAAACCATGTAAAATTCCCAGTGTTAACAGGCCTAACACACAATTACCAAATGGTAGAGCAGGAAGTTAAATGCATGTTACTGACGACAGTGTCTCAAAGAAACTGAAGCGGGCCCCTGTGTTTGTGTGGACACAAAAGCTGTCCAGGGTGTTACAGGAAATGGACAATTACCAGGGACAGTGTCTTCTTTCTGCTAACCATACATTTAGTCTCACTACTAAATATTCATTTACTTAACAGTTATTTATTAAGCACTTGCTGTGTGCTAGGCACTGTTGTAAGGGGGAATGACAGAGAAAAACAGAGCCACTTCATGGGATTTATGTTCTTGTGGGGTATGAATAACAATTAGCAAGATAAATTCTCTTCCTCACATTCCTAAGAAATTTTCAGAGGTGTCATGATGGGGGAGCCTAGTGCAGAAGCTCTGAAGCCGGGATTCTTGGGCTTGAGTTCTGGCTCTGTCAGTTGCTCTCTATGAAACTGGGAGCTGCCCTGAGCCTCTCTGGGCCTCAGTTTCTCCAGCGGCTGAATGAGAATAACAATCCCTAATAATTAAATTTCATAGGACAAATTAAGGGTATAACAGATATAAAACCCACAGTACCAGGACGCTATTCCTAGAAGTTATAATTATTGATGTTGTGGCTCTAAAGGCCATCTGAGTTATCACAGGCTATGAGTCCATGAAGAAAAGCTGGCACTGAGCACAAAAGATGAAGCCAGCTTGCAGGGAACTCATTTCCGGAGCTGTGCGCAGCCGTCTGAGAGGCTCAGCATACTCCCACTTCAGAAGCACATCTTGTCTTCTAATTTACTGAAGCCATGCATGCAGACTTCTGCTCACAGGGCTGGGGACACAGGTAAGCAGGCAGAGGCCCCTGTGCAGATGTAGGCTTAATCTCAATTAACAAAAGCCACCTGGGGCCCTGGCTGTGCCGGGAATCACTGGGGCAGACTTGTTTTCAGGCTGTGGGTTGCCAGGGCTTTGTTAACAGCCCGCAGGGAGGGCCTGGGAGGAAGATTTTATTTATTCTTCCTGGATGCCAGCCCTGTCTGGCAGCCTTCACTTAATAACATGGCCTATCTCTGAACACTGTGTTTCTGAGCTGGGTCAGGTCTGCAGAGCCTGGTGTGGCTTGATGCCGCTTGCGTGTGTTCTTCCCTTTTTTACAACCCTGCTCCACACTGGTGTCTTTCCTCAAAACAAGCAAGCCCCCAACACACAGTCCTCTGGGTGTCTTCCTCTGTGTGTGTTCACAGCGTACATCCTCGTGTGCCATTTAACTCAGGTTAGTCTCTCCCGGTACACAGTGACACAGCGTTAAGCAGGGCTCCGTCCACTCCTGCCCACCCCTGTCCCCTTACATTGTGGTCTGTGTTAGAATGCCCAGGTTTAACAAATACTGACAGGAGACCCAACTGAAGTGGAATTCAGATAAATAAGGAATAATCTTCAATACAAACGTATTTTGTGTGATACTTGGCACACGGGTCAAAGGTATTTAGTTATTTTTATCTAAAATTCAAATATAACTGTGCCTCTCATATTTTAAAGGGCAATCCTGAGTTACAACCTATTTTTGATGCTCGGCAGGTACACACACACACACACACACACACACACACACACGAAGAAATGGTTAGGACTAATAGTACATGACTAAAATCAGGAAACCACAAGCAGACACGAAAGCACACACCAACATGTCAGGAAGTATTGCTTACAGGCTGTGTTGAAGAATTTTCATTTTTCTGTGAGATGCTTCCTTATTTTCAAGTTGATTAAAACAAGCAAAAAAGTTTTCAAACATCACATATTTATGTGCCTGCATATTTGCATGCACACACACACACACACCACACCACACACACAAACGTACTTCTTAATAGTATAAAGCCTACTTCAAATTTATGCTTTATCTCTCCTGGCCTGACTAGAGTTCCCCAGACACATACCCAAGGTTGGAGGCATTTTCATCATGGCTGAAAAGATTGTCCAAAGCAATACACAAAGGACTATCAAGGTATCTATAAAACAGAGCCCACAAAGCAGACAGGTGGTAAAATCATATGGCTAGTGTTTTTACAAATTATACAATGTTCCTTAAGAAAATCAGCTATAGGTTTTGGGGCCTACAGGTATAAGTCCAAGACATAAGTATTGATTCAATTGTGTATAATGTATTAGAGAATGCTTAATTTGCAGAATGAGGATGGGAAACAAAACAAACAACAGAGGCTGAATAGAGAATAATTTGAAGACCTTTCTCATGCTTCCTATAATGCTTTGGAACATCCTTCAATTTGCCCTTTGGGTGTCCACAGTGCTCATTAGTAATGGATATGTTCATAATTCTCTACCCTTGTGGAGCATGAAAGGAAAACTTAGGGTGCCCAATATTTCACAGTGAGATTAAGTATGAGAAGTGAAAACGGAAAGAATGTGTATGTGTGTGCGTGTGTGCGTGTGTGCATGTGTGTGTGTGTGTGTGTGTGTGTGTGTATTAGAGAGAGACAGAGACAGAGAGACAGAGAGAGAGAGAGAAACAGAATATGCATGTGATGGTATCAACATCAACATAGGGAATATAATATTGTCTGGTATGACACCAAAATTGCAAATAAAATTTCTAAACTCTGTCCATCTTAAAGTCTCAAACATAGGAACGGAACAAAACCAACTTTGGCCACATTGCAATGAGAGACAAACCCAACAGGGAAGAATGCTATGTCTATTCTTATGAAGAGTTCTTGGCCTTAAAAAAAACCAATTAATTGGCTGAACTTTTAGAAAAAGAAAGCAAGACTTTGAACAAAAGGAGGTTGCACATTGTCATTGTGAGGGTACAAGGAGAGAGAAAAAAAGATGATCCGATGATTGCTAAGGAAGACAGAGCTATATCTAATTTAACTTTTTACATGGCAGCATTTTAATAGCCTACTCTAAAATGCTGATTAAGTACACTAAGGCTGAGCCAAAATCAGGCTCTTACCATGTCTGAATAGTGCATATACCATAATGAATCTATTTCCAAGTCACACAGAACTATCTTCTCAACTGTGGCACAGAGGCTTTGAGCAAACTGTATATTAAGTAAGCTATATTAATTAAATATGGATTGAGGCAAGTCTTATGCAGATTCCTCCAGGGGATATCCCTAAACACATAGCGATCTCAATTATTTCTCCATTAGCATTCTCTGGAAGACCTTTTTTCCTGTTTTCTGGTAAGTAAGAACTGCTTGGTATGCGTATTTAAATAACATTCTTACTGAATTAGCTTTAAGAACTGGCTTTTAGCATAATGGATGCATTACAATGTAGAATAAAATAAAGGAGAAACACAAAGGCCTCAACACATATTTAAAAAGCTGGAGGTAACAGATACTGTTAAGCTTCTTGCCATTTTCAAAGCCTTGGATTACAGTAATGGCTTTGAGAACAGATCACAGTAGGCTGATATCTAGCTACTGACATAAATTAGTTCCACTTCTGTTCAGATCTACAGGGTGAGAAGAGCAGCACATATCCTTGGTCGGGTCACAGGCAAACCTGTAGCTGCTGAAGTGTGCTACAAAGAGATCAGTTTTATTGTCAATTATTTTAAGGAGAAATTGTTTTGTACAAATTCTAAGCATTAATCTTATACTAACTATTGAGGAATGCTTTGAACCCAAAGCCCCTACCCCACGGTTTTTAAGAAAAAAAGTAATGAGTGATAAGGCATCTGAGCTCTTCCTTTTCAGACCATTTAGTTACAATGTTTTGAATAAACTGGATGAGGGAACTGATGAACCAAAGTACACTGGTTTTTACTGGTAATCTGTTTTACGGGTCTCTACAGAAATCAAGATCACCAAAAACCTTGATGAACAATCTAGTGAGTTTTGTGCAAAGGTACACCTGGAAATCGGATGCATTTTTGTTACGATGTTTGGGGACACAGACAGGAGAGACTCCTCTGAGAAGCCCAGTCCAATCACTTACCACAGATTCACCAGGAAAGGGTGCTCCAGGCCCTGCATGATCTGGAGCTCCTTGAAGACATTCCGCACTTCGTTCCGCTCCACGCATTTTTGTTTATTCATGTACTTCATGGCGTACATCTTCTTGGTGTCATTCTTCTGTACGATGCACACCTAACCATGCAAGCCCAAGTAAATAAGGGGTTAGGGAGGTGACAAATCACAACTGTGAGAAGACTAGGACTTGGTCTTTAGTAAGGCTGCGTTGTTTCATCCTTGTCAAAAGCACTGATAGTAAAGTCCTCACTCAGCTCTGACTATGGAGTAAAATTTTCATTTTCTTCCCCCATACACCAGATTATGTCTTCAATCTCTGGTTTCTGATACATGTTTGCCTGATTTAGCCTTTGGAATTTTGGGGGGACGGAGGTGGGTACCAGGAATCAGACTTAGGACCTTACACTTGCCAGGCAATGCTTGTGCCGCTGAGGTATATCCCTGGCCCTGAGCTATGTTCCCAGCCTGCTTCTGAAATTCTTTTTTTTATTCGGGGGGTGGGGTGGATGGAACTCCCAACCTCACACTTGCCAGGCAGACACTTGCACCACTTTTTTAAAAAATATGATTCTTTCCTTTTTTTTTTTTTTTTGTACCAGGGATCAAACCTCACATTGCCAGGCAAGCACTTGTGTCACTGAGTTAAATCCTCAAACCCCTGGAAATTTTTAAGACACCATTTAAATCTGCCTTCCCACCAGGAATCATTAAGTAACATCCTTAATCCTATGTCAGGTGACTGCAGTAAACACAACTGAACTGTCAAGGTGACGAACGCTGGGCAGTTTCTGTTCACCACCATGGATGACGTCACAAAATGGATTCCAAGCACCAATGTAATGTCCATGTTTCTGACATTCCATTAGAAGCCCATATGATTTCTGATGAACGAAAATGCAAATCTGCTATGAGCTATGCTGTCTTAAGGTCCATCTTCACTGAAAAATTAACAATGAGTTTGAATCTGGAAGTTTCTTACCAATAATCGGGTTCTGTATACTTTTCACAGTAAATTTTTGAAAATACCCAATAAAACTTGCAAAAAGGAAATTTAAATTAGGTGTCTTCTTACACATGTGAAAATAATTATTTTTATATTGAAAAGTTCACAATCATTGGTTTTATAGGTGGTACGATTTAAAAATGATTCTGAAACCTCAACTCCCTTTAGAGTAGGGAGACATTCCAAGCTCTAATTAAGGTAAACAAGTTAGTTTTGAATGAGGTAATTCCTAGAACAGTATATATTCACTATGTAGCTGTCTTCCCATTTTCCTCAAGTTGTGCAGGAGATTTTATGAAAGCTCTTTACAAAAACATCTCTGAATTATCAGTCCTCGAGGTCACAATAACTCATTAATCTGAACATTCTCAGACACTCTGTTCTGAAGCTGCATAACTCTGGAATGGTTGGTTAATCAGCTAGATTCTCACCTTTCCAAAACTGCCTTTTCCAATGGCTCGCAAAATTTCAAAGTGGTCAAAATTGACTGAAAGACAAAAAAAAAAAAAAAATTATGAGTGATTATCAATTGCTCTTAGGTAGATAATCCATACAAAGTCCCCCGGACAATAAGAAAGGAGGAGAGGGAGAAAGAAAGGGAGGAAAAGAAAAAAGGCAGGTGGGGGAGAGAGAGAGAGAAAAAAAAAAATGAGCTTAGCTGAATTATTGTTTATAACAATCAAAATGACCCTTAAATGTAAGTTTATTCATTCAACAAAGATTTACTGAACATTTATCATCATAGTGCGAATGCTGAAAAGACAGTAATAATAGAGTAAAAAAAGAGTATCTTTATTAAGCTACTGAGAGCTTTCTAAACAGAGAGACCTTCATAGATCAGATAGTCACAAAAATAAGTAGAAAATTAGAACTCCTGCTGAATGCTAGTAAGAATAGAGGTCATGGAGTTCTAGGAACACGGAACCAGTGATTTGCCATAGGCAGCCAGCTCAGGGAAACATCTCTGCACTCAGCAATCACGGAAAGAGAGCCAGTCCTGGAGTCACCTACGATGACTTCAATGAGCACTTTAAAAAGAATCTTTTGGCCCACTTGGTTTCCACAATTGTCTGTTGTATATGAATAATTCCAGTTTTCCTCAGTAGGAAACTGGCATTTTATTGAGTTGGAAGAAGCTGAGGTGGCCTTGCACGTGGGCTATGTTATACCTCCAGCTCCCAGCAGCACGAACTGTAGACGTGGAGTTTACAGGTGCGTGCTCTCTCGGACAGTGTCCAAGAAACGCACAGTTATGAGAGGAACACAATATAGATTCTCCCTGGCAAGTAACAATTCTTGTTTGATTCCTGGCCCTGATGACCAGGAAAAAAAATGTTAATTTTTTTTCAGGTATTAAGATAAGGATTAAATGGGTAAATACAAACTAAGGGATATCAAGAGTTTACTCAGAAAATATTTGAAACACTAGAAGGAAGCACTCATCTCATTAATAGACCTGTTTGCCTCTTTTAAAGAGAATAATTAGATTAATTCCCCCTTAAAGAAAGAGAAATGGCAAAGGGACCTCTGAGATATTCCCTAGTTTTCTGAGGGTCAAATTTTTTATACTATGACTTTATCACCTACTCTTCTGATCTAAAAAATCATTTTATTTCTAGTACAAACCCACATAGTCATATGAGGCAATATTTTACAAATAACCCTGGATTTACACTCAAAATAACAATGTAACTTGACATAAAAGAGTCTCTGTGTCTGTTTTTCTCATCTGTAGAAATGGAATAGACTGTCTACGTAAGAAAACGTTTATCCAGAAAGTGCTAATGAAACAGTTTAACTTTGAGTTCATTGCATCCTGGGTAACATAGGCTCCATGAGGGAAGGGGTTGGATATCATTGTTGTCATCTTGATTTCCCTGCAAACTTAAGAGTACTTGGGATTCAGGCAGGTGGAAGCCAAATTTTCTATAATTTACACAGAATTTAGCACGGTTAGGGTCTCAGCAAATAAACCAAACTAAGCTATGAGGACACACACACGTGTTCCAATGACTGGTTCTGCTAAATACGAGGAGTGTGAGATTTGGGTCCTCTAAAGACAGCAGGCTTTGAAATGTGAATCCAGACTCAGTATTGAGTTTTAAAATAAATTTTGTGGTCATAATTTTTAAAAAAATAGAACAGAATAGGTCACATTGGAAAGGTAAGTGAGGTAAGGTCAGTATTACTTATGAAACTTTTAGTTTTATATATGTGTGTAGGTATGTAACTGTTAGTGTATTTCTTACCATGGGTTGTTATAGGATTTATAAAATACTTCTATTCGTTTTCTCCAGAGTTTCATACCGAAATCACCAATGCAATTGCTTCTTTATACCCATTACATGAGTCTGAGTTATATATTATTTACCATAGGAGTGTTTTAAAAAACTGACCAGGATTTCTTTGCAAGTCCAGGATTTGATCTTCAATAAATCAATAACTCACTGTGATTTTTCCACTAGCAGCCTAGCCTAGAATGCTACGATGGCATTGTGAATTTCCAAGCATACACCAACACCTAGAAAGCATGAGGTTTCATTGTGACATTAATCCATTTCATGAACCATGCCCATTATAACCTGAAAACAACAAATATGTCTATACCAAGTTCCTGGCAAATGTAGACCAGCAAAACTGCCTAAATCAATGTATCTTCCCACATAGCAGATCTCAAAAAAAGTGACAGGTCTAAAGTTTTATTCATCTTATTTTATGTCCTTAAATACATATGTAGTCAGTTGAAGAAAGAATCAACTCTAGTCCAATTCCACAACATCTATGGTTATTCCCACAGGTTACAATATTACCTAGGGAGAAAGCCAGTGATAGGCAGAAGAGGTAGTGACTCAAATAAGCTGTTAGTCAATCTTTCAGCCCTTCCTTAAATGCAAGAGAATGGAATCATTGTTAGGAAAGAGAGAAAGAGACAGATACAGATACGAATTCAGAATTGCAGATTATCTTTTCAGCAGAAATTACCCAGTACACTGGGGAATAATAATTGTCTAAAAGCAAATCTTTCTGATTCTGGACTCAACTCTTAATCACTGCTCTTACTTTTAAGTTGTCTTAGTGTTATTCTTATGGTGAACCTACTTAACCCACAGGAAAGTTAGCAGAAGTGACGAGGGATTCTTCCTCTGGTCTTTTGGAATTACAAGAACCAAATCAAATTTTTCTAAGTTTTTCTGTCATACACAAACACTGAGACCCAGTGCTGGTGGGGATTTCCTCTCTTACCATCTCCCAGCCTCAGTGCTCTGTGCCATGAACAGTGCTGGAGGAAAGAAAGAAGGAAATCCTTTTAGAATTTGGAATAATATCTTGACACTTGGTAATTGGGAAGAAATACACTCCAGAAGATAAAGAATTTATTACTTTTTTTTACTTTCAAAATAAAAATATTTTATTTTTTCCTAAAAAATTGATTTGAGCTTTAGTAAGTATTAAATCATATGCATATATGCGTCTACTAAGAATAAGATACCTTGCTGTTGATATAAATACTTCTAGGAACAATAAAACAGACCGGCAGCTGCGTGACCCCAGAGAAATCATTCAGCCTTTCAAACCACAATCTATAAAATGATGCTAATTAAATTTAATTTGCATGTGGCTCTCAATATGAGACAATGTAAGCCAGAAGTAGAACATCTGGCCCACAGAAAACTAAAAGTTACGATCACTTTAAAAAGATACAATTATTCAGTGAAAACTAGGCCGCCTTTCCATTTCAAATTTTCAGTTCCCTTCCCACCAAGCAACCATTGTAACAAATTCTTGTGTAACCTTTAAGAGGTATTTCTCTGTGCGTGTGTTTTTCTTAACAGCAAGAGAAACACACTGAAAAACAATTTTTAAAAAATAGGTGAAAAAGAGACAAGGAAATCATGATTTAAAATTTTTTAAGAAAAATGACGACTTGGCCAGGGATTTAGCTTAGTGGTAAAAGCGCCTGCCTGGCAAGCACCAGGTCAGGAGTTTAATCCCCAGTACCAAAAAAGAAAAAAAAAAAACGTACAACTTCAAGTTAAGTCTTTTCCCTTTTGGGAAATCTATTCAAAAAAAAATTTTTTTTCTAGGTCCTTTTGCAAAAGTCTCTTAAGTTCTGGGCACTGAATCCATTCTTTTCACCTAGAAATTTCTTTCCTCAAACTCAGGAAACAGCTGCCTATGTATGAAGCATACCTCGCCTTCAAACAAGGTATCTTGACTTCAAATGCATATAGATGGCTCGCAGTGTGACCTGCTAAACCACCAACCTGGAAGACACCCTTTAAACGAGCTCCTCTTCTGCCGGTAACGTGTTCTCATTACTCTGAGCGCTGCACTCAAGAACGGAGTGCGTCAAAGAAATCCTTCTCATGTCTCTCTTTCTGAGCATCCTGAAAATTCTTTTCTGAGATAAGAGTCAGCAAACTTGCAAACTGATTTTAAAACAGTGGGATGGGTTCTTTATCTCAGCCCCACAGAACTCACAGACCTAATTTGGTGACAAAGCTATCATTCCTGTTTAAATACAGATGGCTAAACTCTTTCTATATGATTTGATTGTCCTCACGTTCATTCCGTTACAACAGACTCTCATTATTTTAAATACTATGGCTCCTTTGTCTTCCATTGTGTCAGTATCACACACAACACACACACACACACACACACACTCAACCATTGAACTTTTGAAAAATGGTTTAATTATCTTCTATTACTAACATACTACTAGCATATACTTGATGGGCTTTTTGCATATGTTTGTAAGCTACTTTTTTTTTTTTTGTCTTTTTCATTTTTATCGGTACCAGGGATCGAACTCATGACTGCCTGCTTGCAAGGCAGGCATTTATGCCACTGAGCCAAATCCCCAGCCCCTGTAGGTTACTTTTATAGAAGCAGAATTGCTGCTCAAATTACATATACAAAACTTTTCTAGTGTAACAGACATTTCCAGTAGACCTCCAAGGATGTCGCTCCCAATCTCCTGCACATGAGTGGTGTGTAAGAATGATTCCTTGTCCACCACTTCGCCAACACTATCACATCAACTATCCTCGATCTGAGATGTGAAAAAGATTGAATTACTGATTTATCGCACAATCTATGTTTTCAGCAAACTGCCTATTCATGTATTTTGCCTATCTTTAGCGAATTGTTAGCCTTTTTATTTTCAAGTACACTTAAAAATATTATGAAATAAATATTATAAAATAAATATTATAAAATAAAATAATTCTGCATTTAACATATCTCAGGAAGTATTTTTCTAAGGTGTCAGGGTTTTTTTAAATTTGGCTTTAAATCTTTAACAATGTGAAAATTTCAGATTTTGTATAGTTAGATTTAGCAATCTTTTTCCTCATGCCTTTATAGGTTTGTATCTTTCTTTTAATTTTAAAACTGCTAAAATCATCTACTTATATTTTAAACGAACAACTTTTACCACAAATTTTCGTTGCAGGTGCAACAAAACACTTTCCCTAGCATTAA